CGGGTGATTCGCGGGATGATCTTGGACGTTGAGGACTACAACAAGCATGTTCAATCCAAAGACTTGGGGGTAAAAATTTTAAACTCTCTTGAATCTAGTGGGTTATTAAATTTTTGCTCTTTCAAGTATGATGGATTTTACAAGAATGAAGTAGTAGATTTTTATAAGCATGCATATGTCGAAAATGGCTTTATAAAATCTACTATTGGCAGTGTTAGCATTGTCAATTGGGTTAGATGATGTTCGAACCAAGTATGGTTTGTAGGAGAAAGGTTTGAGAATTGAAAATCATGGATTTGATTTGAATACCTTTTGGAGTGAAATAAGGCACAAAACCGCACCGGTCGGGGCTTGCAATAATGGAAATAAAGTGTTGTTCAAGCATGAATATGGAATGTTGCTAGATATTGTGCATAAGATTATTGAATGCAAGTATGCTAGTAGGAATTATTTTACTAAGGAGAAATTGGGTTTACTAAGGAGAAATTGGGTTTGATGCATATTATATTGAATAATGTTGCTGTGGATTGGGGAGTTTTTGTGTTTGGTCGAATGATTGAGCAGGTTGGGAATGCGAAACCGTTGGTGAATGGATGGTTTCCTAATGATATTGGATATGGCTTTGTTGTTGGAGAGTTGTTAAAAGCCAAAGGTATTGCCCTATCTAAGCCACGACCCATCCAAAACCAAAACTACATGTTAGGAATAATATGTAATAGTTTTGATGAGCCAAATTTGTATTTTTTAGAACCCCCTATTTTATTTTGAGTCTAGTTGTCTATTAGCCTAAGTCCCAAGTCAAGCCATAAAAGTCTACGAATTCTTAGCAAAATATACTTATCCAGAATGTTACTATTTGAGATTTATTTACCTTGGAAAACACCAAAGGATGAAGCGGTGAAGTGGATAAGGAACAAGGTGACTAAAGTCAGAGGTTACGAGTTTGAGACTCAATCTTTACATTTTTATGTAAGAGATAAAGAAGGGGACGACGAAGGGGCTGATGGGGACGATCAAGGAGCAGACTCGGATTAATCTACGAATTAATGTGAAATACTACTAAAGCCATTCTAGGAATAAAGATTAAATCCAGAAATATTAACCAATGAGTTAATATGGTGTAGTGGTACAAGCTTGGAAGACAAATCTAATTGGGCTCGTGATCAAATCCCATTAGAAGCATATTCTATAAGTATGACACTTGTTAGGTGCATGTTACAATGTGGACACATGTCATACTAAATTGACTACAAGTTTGGAAGCTTGTGGACATGATAAGGAAGATGCACGTGAATTCTTCTACACATCTTCTTTCTCATTTATATCTCTTGCTATGAATCTCATATCACTTCAGAAGAAGAAATGGACGGAGATATAATTTTTACTCAAGCAAGAATCAGCAGGAAATCTTTTGGAAGATTTCATCATTTTGAATCCGTCAAGATAAGGTAATTATTTTTTGGAGAAGATTCAGCTGATGAGCCGATATGTATGACTTTTGAAGATTTGTCAGGTGAGGATTTTCGAACTCACTGTGGAAGCCCATCTCTTGCATTAAATCACCGCAATGCAAGTTGGCAATAATGTGAAGCTGATCAAAATGAATGATCAAGATCAACTGATGCTACAACGGTAATATAGCTTCTTCAGCTATATATACCAAGAAGACTTGAAGACATGAAGCAGAGACAATAGAGTGCAATACACGAAAAAGAGAAGGCAACGCAATACACAAAGAAAAAAATTCGAAATATCTAGTCTGAGCTTTCACGAGATATTCTTCAAGTCATTAGAAGAGAAATTTGTTTTCTCTAAATTTTACCTCTACTGTGTGTAGAAAGAGGGTTGAGTGTAGCTTTGTGCAAGACACTATCCTGTTGAGTGTAGCTTTGTGCGAGACACTCGTGAGTGTAGCTTTGTGCGAGACACTCGTGGTTGCTGAGTGTAGCTGTGTGCGAGACGCTCGGTGGTGCTAAGTGTAGCTGGGTGCAAGACACTTAGTTGGTGTAGGAGTATAGCTTTGTGCAAGATACTCGGGGGTATAGCTTTGTGCGAAATACTCGGGATTGAGTGTAGCTGTGTGCAAAACACTCGGGAAGTGCCTGTGTGCACTTGATTCACTATTTGTATCTGGGTGAACGAGATAGTGAATTTCCTCCTTGGAGTGAAAGGAGAAGAGTGGACTAGGAGGATTACACCACCTCTGAACCACTATAAATTGCATCTCTCTCATTTACTTACTGCTTTATTTATTATTGCATGCATACTAACCCATTTACTATTCGTCTTATTCATTTATCTTATTGATTGGGTTATGTGACTTTATAAGTGCATGCAGACACAATTCCATTTGGATTCATTCATTGATCCACACGTGGCATTGCATACATATTGAGTGAACCATCTCTTAAATATTTTGTTGCCTTGCATGTTGAATATTTGACTGACCCATCTTATATTGTGCGAAATTATTCATCTAGGTTTAGTAGTTTTCACGTATGCATGTGAGCATAAATTTGCATACATATTATTTGAGCTATTTCAAGCATATCCATAATATTGCATGGGATATATCTCTTTGATTTTACGTAACACTTGGTTGTTTAAATTATTCCGCTGCGCATCTAAGTTTCATATCTTGTTACTTAGAGTTGAAATTACCAAAGTGTTATTAATTGTGTGCCCATTATTTGTCCTCACAGTCCTCTATATATTGTTGTCCTCATTTGAACTCAACCCTATATATATATATATATATATATATATATATATATATTTTATGGCTCGCGAGCGGCTCGACGAGTCACGAGCCTAGAATATCTAGGCTCGGCTCGAGCTCAATTTCTAAACGAGCCGTTCGAGCTCCGCTCGAGCTCGATTTTGACCGAGTTCGAGCCGAGCTTTGACCGAGCCACTCGCAAGCGGCTCGCGAGCTGCATGGCTCATTTACACCCCTACTCCCATTAAAACTCAACTGTTTGGCTAAATTATTAAGATTTAAATAAAAAAAAATCCTTAAAAACATGCATGCTTAATTCCCAGTTAAAATCAAACTCAATTTCCCAACTCCATGTTATACTCAAATACTCCTAAATTACCTATAATTATAGCCCAAAACCCAGCACTCCATCTCCAAAACACTCAATTTCCCAACTCCATGTTATACTCAAGCACTCCTAAATCACCTATAAATATAGCCCAAAACCCAGCACTCCATCACCAAAACTTAAACAGACAATTGAGGAAAAGCAATTCGGAGCTTGGCTTTTCCATTTGGAGCATTCCATTCTATTAACTTTAGTTTCTATAGGTGAAGTAAGGATTACAAGTTCCTTTTTGGTGATTATGCAGTTTATGTTTTTTTTTTAATGTTGCAGTATAAAATGCTATATTCATGTTTTAGTTTCCTTTTATATTTATTTATTAACTATTTTCTATTATAGTTGTTTCTCTTAAATTTTCACATATTGCAGAAAGTATTCCAACCAGGCATTGGTGATCATCATTCTCAATTTTATTGGGTAATAACAGATTAACAGTTTCAATTTTTTTTAAAATCTTATTTCAATATGTAACTAATTTCTTTTATTTTTAGGTTGATGATCTTTTTTAAAAATCTTATTTCAATCTGTAACTAATTTCTTTTATTTTTAGGTTGATGTTGAGGCATAGTGTTGGATTGAAGAATAAAGTGATGACTAAGAAGGTTCAAGTATTGTGTAGCTTTTTCCTCTTTTATATGTATCACATTTTATAATAGGTTTCAAGTATTCCGTAATATACAAATCTGTTTTTTTCAAGTGTATTAAGATTGAGTCTATTATTTTGAACAATAATATTTAGGGAATTGTGTTCTTCGATCTCAAGTACATTGAAAAATGTATTCTATTGGATTCAAATAACTTAATAACTTAATGTATCAATAGATTGGCAATGGAAAAGTTGTGGGTGATAGTTTAGTGGTAAAGAGACGCCTTCTGAATGAGTTTTCATCAACCCAAACATCAAAGAACAAAGGGTCTCTCAGTGTTAAGCTTGAAGGAAACACATTGATTATAATTTGTGTGGTTGAAGTGTCTGTTCCGTATGGACAATGATGCCTGGTGGCATTTTATCTTTTATATATATATATATATATATATATATATATATATATATATATATATATATATATATATATATATATATATATATATATATATATATATTTATTTATTTATTTATCTATTTATTTATTTATTTATTTATTGTTTTATTTATTTATTGTTTTATTGTTATTAGGTTTCAAAGACAATTGTGCCCAGTGACACATGAGATTGTTTACTCTGGGCTGCTGGTGGCACATAAGCTTTTCTAATGTTTTGTAAAGCTCATGTAATCAGTGGATTTTCAAGTTTTCCAAGCACCTATTCTTCCAAGTAGGTGATTGCATTGTAATCAAACTGTTTGGATGGTTGAATTATTCTTTTGTAGGGGGTTCAAATATCATAGGACATATATAGCTAATTTGGTTGTTGGCGTCCATGATGAAGTTTTTTGCACAGCTCTTTAGTTTTCCATTATTTTTTGGATGTATATTATAGGTTTGAGTTCTATAATATTGTAAAGTATTGAGAATATGTAATTTTGATAATTCTTATGTTTTGTTAATAGACTATTATAGATTTGAGTTGTATTGTAAAGTATTGAGAATATGTACTCTAAACTTTAAAAAGTATATTACTAATTATTTCTATACTTTGAACATATCTTGACAAACTATATATCTTATACATTGTTGATTTGCAGCCTATGATAAGTTTAAATATCTGCAATTAACAAGCTCAAATTTTATTAAACTTTCAATTTCATATAATTTATCAAAAAGTTTTTTAATATTTTTCTCCAATTACATATAATTTGTCTTGAAAATCATACATATGAATATAAAAAAGATAGAAAAAATGCAGGATTTTTCATTACTTATAAGACTAACACTTATAATGTCTTATGTCAATACTTCAGAACTGCACATAATACAAATATACTACATACTGTATTAAACAAAGTGAATTTAAAGAATAAAATTCTCACTTCTTCTTAAGTTAACTAATTAACAGAAATTGATTAGTGATACCCAATATAAGATTCCAGGTTTCAAAAAATTACAAAATGACAGAAACTTAAAGTCATAATATTCTATCACTACAAGAAAAATGCACACAGACAACGGTTGTAAAATTTATGTTGTTGTAAGTCTCGCGCACGTTGTCTTTTCTAGAAACAAGAACGGTTTTTGAACCGTTGTCTATTAAGTGTTGTTGAAACTGTTGTTGTTAAAAGTCACGCACAAAGACAACGATTTTGGACCAAACTGTTGTATTTTATACAAAAGACAACACTTTTGTTAAAAACTGTTGTCTTTCTAGTATTGTCTATGTGCATTTTTCTTGTAGTGTATATTAATTTTTTGAGAAATAACACTACAAAATATGAATATGCAACACAATTAATAATCATAAAATAATATGTTGGACTTTAAACTATAAGCTACCAGGTATTAAAAAAATGGATACAAAATGACAGAAACTTAAAACCATAATCTATAGATTTTTTTTCAACATTTAACACTGCAAATTAAAATATGAATAGGCAACACAATTAATAAGAGAAATATAGATTATGGTTATAAGGTGCACAATGGATTGCTGAAATCTACAACCTGTGATGCTATTGAGAAATATAGATCACTCATTAGAACTGTGTAATGGTTACAAGGTTGGTTGATCATGTTTTGGAAGCTTACATTATGTGTGGAACGAATGCAGGAACAGAGGTTTTAATTCCTCGAATGTCGTTAACACCTTCTGATTCAAGATTTCTTTTCAAGTTCCAAAGAAAGCAATTTCCTTTCTAAGTATAATAATATGAAAACAAAATAAATTATCATTCTCATTATTCCATGTAATTTATGCGGTAATTTTATGCTAATCTATCTATATATTTTTTATTCATAAGGTGTAATAGTATAATTGCACAATATTAGTATATTTACCTAATAATTATTATGGTAATTAAGGAATTAATTGCACAAATATTAGTATAATTGACTAATAATTATTATGGTAATTAAGTTAATAATTAACTTAATAATAGTATAATTACAATTAAACATGGGTCGTTGGATATTTTTTAATTATTATAATTAATTTTATGATAATCTATATTTTTTTATGCTTAAGGTGTAATACTATGAGAATTAAATAAATTATCATTTCTATTTTTTCGTGTAATTATTATGATTATATATATATATATATATATATATATATATATATATATATATATATATATATATATATATATATATATATATATATATATATATACACACACACACACACACACTATACTAATAAGAGCCCAAAGAGTTAGGCCTATAATGGGTAGAAAAAATGGCGGTCAAATTTTTTAATCAAATGAATGACTCATATTGATCATATTTTAATTTTTCCTTAGGATTTCCTAATTTATCCTTAATGAATATGATTATCCGTTAACTTTTCCGTTAAATATTATCTTTTCCGTTAATTTATGTTAGTTCACCGTTAACTTACTCATTGATTCCAATAAGAAAGGTCTTAGGTTTGAATCTCATCCCAACCAAAGTTGGCATAATTAGTAATCTATTTTACTCTAACTAGTATTTGCACCCGTGCGATGCACGGAATGAATATGTTATAATATATTAAGAATATATGAATCGATATATAATTATTTAAATTAGAACATCAAATATTATATAGTGCACTTAAAGATATGATTTGAATCGTTTATATATTTTGATGTTATCATTGCTTGAATTTATACAAATAATTGCTCAAATTAATAGTTAATGTCTAGATGTACGGATGCGGTCCTATAATTTTGAAGATTTTATTTATCATTGTTTAGTATTTTCATACATTAGGTAAATGTGCTCGTTCTCTAACAACTCAGTTATAGAAATGAATTGCTATCCATATTCATTTGTATGGAAGATATATTTTTTTGTCTAGATATATAGCAATTTTTTCATTTAAAAAAAATTAATATCACCGATTATATTCACACATTATTGAAACCTCTTTGTAGATGACATTGGTAGTGACAACACAATCTTGTTCATCTTCGTCTAGAGCTAACATCTTCTCCATCAGGACGGGTTACTTGGGTGAAAATATATAATGGTAGAATATCACTCAATTCGTAATATCAGATTCATTTTCAGCCAATTATTTTTTTTTTTTTCAATCAATTAGAATATCAAATAATGCAGTGATATTTTTACATAACTTCCGCTCCATTTTTAATTGATGATGTAGATATTATTATTGAAATATTTCCGTTCCATTTTTAATTTACCTTTACTATTGTTTAAAATATGCATTTACTATTGATAATGTAGAATATTATCATTGGAATATTTCCCTCCAATTTTTAATTTTCATTCCATTTTTAATTAAAATGCAATGATCTTACCATTTTTTTAGTCAATTATTTTTTTTGGTAAGAATTTTTTTAGTCAATTATAGATCATTTTCTATTTGCATTCAATTATTAATATTCATTTCCCTTTATATTTTCAGTCAATTAGTAATATTAGATTCATTTTCAGTTAATTATTCTTTTTTATTCCAATCAATCAGTCAATTAGAATATAGATGCAGTGATATTTTTACCTAATTTTCGTTCCATTTTAATTTGATGATGTAAAATATTATTAATGAAATATTTTTGTTCCATTTTTAATTTATCTTTACTATTTTTTTAAAATATGTCTTTACTATTTGATGATGTAAAATATTATTATTAAAATATTTCCTTTCCGTTTTTAATTTTCCTTTACTTCTAACCAAAAAAAAAAAGACTTTGGACTTCTCAATACTTGCCCACATTGATTTTTTTTTTTGGTAAACTAAGGGTTTTCACCGTTGGACACAGTGACTAATCCCCCGCTAAATTGTAAGCACCTCTTTTGGGTAGGACAGTTGGCTTAGAGATTTAAGGCTGCTCCATTCCCAAATCTAAGGATCGAACTCTTGACCTTTGGTTAAGGATGGATGAGTCCCTTACACTCAACCACACCCTTCAGGTTACTTGCCTACACTGATGGGCAAGCAATTATGTTTGTAAGAGGAGCATTACTCCTCTTTCCAAACATTTTCAATGTGAGATCAAAATGATCCCACATCATTTACAAAGGGCGCCCGTCACTCCCTTTTGTCTTCTCCTTATTTTTTTTTAAATTTTAATTTTATTTTGTATATCGTTTTGTTTGGATTATTATTATTATTATTATTATTATTATTATTATTATTATTATTATTATTATTATTATTATTATTATTATTATTATTATTGACAAATTCGTCATTTTAACAATTTATCTTTAATCAAAACACCAAAAATATTATTTAATAAATAAGTAATTTGCTCCAAACTGCTAAAATCTAAAACAACGCATATATTTTGAGTTAATCTTTCCTAACCCCCAATAATAAATAAATAAATAAAACTAAAATAGGAAGACAAAACTAAGGTTTCTTAAATAAGAACCTTTTGACTTCTCAATACTCGCCACATCGATGGACAAACAATTATGTTTGTACCTCTTATATAGAAGAGCTCAGGAGCTCATCTTTTCAAACATTTTCAATTTGGGATGAAAATGAACCAACATCATTTACAAAGGGAGCATGTGGCTCCCCTTTGCCTTTTTTTTTTTTTGTTAATTTTAATTTTATTTTGTATATAGTTTTGTTTGGATTATTATTATTATTATTATTATTATTATTATTATATTATTATTATTATTATTATTATTATTATTATTATTATTATTATTGTTGTTGTTGTTGTTGTTGTTGTTGTTGTTGTTGTTGTTGTTGTTGTTGTTGTTTTGTTGTAATTTGATTATTTGGCAAATTCACCAAAATTTTAAGAAATTCGTCTGTTTAATATTTTATATTTAATCAAAAAACCAAAATATTATTTAATAACTTAGCAATTTGCTCCAAAAAGCTAAAAACTAAAACAACACATACATGTTGGGTTAATCTATCCAAACCCCCACTAATAATAAATTAATAAATTAATAAAAACTAAAATAAGAAGACAACGCTAAAGCTTCTTAAATAAGAACCTTTTGACTTCTCAATACTTGCCCACATTAATGTGCAAGTAATTATGTTTGTAAGAGGAGTTTTGCTCCTCTTATATAGATAAGCTCTCTCGTTTCAAACATTTTCCATGTGTGATCAAAATGATCCCACATCATTTACAAAAGGAGTCTGTGACTCCTCTTTGTTTTTTCTTGTTTTTTTTTTTTTAATTTTAATTTTATTTTGTATATAGTTTTGTTTGGATTATTATTATTATTATTATTATTATTATTATTATTATTATTATTATTATTATTGTTATTGTTATTGTTATTGTTATTGTTATTGTTATTGTTATTGTTATTGTTATTGTAATTTGATAATTTGGAGAATTCTCTAAAATTTTAAAAAATTCGCTTATTTAACATTTTATATTTAATCAAAACATCAAAAATATTATTTAATAACTTAACAATTTGCTCTAAACTGCTAAAGACAACACATATATATTTTGGGTTAATCTTAGCCAAACCCCCTAATAAATTTAAAAAAAAAAAAAACTAAAATAAGAAACCATTAAAATAAGGTTTCTTAAATAAGAGCATTTTGAAACGTTGGGGTTCAATAGGTTGAATAAGTCTATATGAACAGATACTACATGTGACACGGTGAATCGAATAGTTATGCTGTGGAACCGTGTCCACTTTGCAAGGTGGACACAGTTCTATGTTCATAATTACTGAACTATATATTCATAATTATAAAGCTAAATATTCAGAATCTTTGAACTTCATATTCATAATTATTGAACTATATATTCACAATTACAAAACTCTATGTTCATAATTACTAAACTATATGTTCATAATTATAAAGCCATATAT